TATTATACAGTGAACACGAAAACCCTGGATATTATTATGTGGCGTCCTTCTCTGTTAAAAGGGATACTACCGTAATGTGATCTGACACGCCAACTACAATCGCAGTGGCACCAAATTGATTTTCAACAGGAAAAATAAAAATAAATATAAAAAAAACATGTAGATGTTTGCCCGGAATTGGCTGCAAGATTTAAATTTCGAGTAGGTTTCGTTATTTGACATTTCTTTTAGTTTCTCACTGCCCTCTGCCCCGACGTTGGCAATTATTCGGCTACAGATCACTGTACAGAAATCTTCTCCTGCCTAAATTGCAGTGTAGTTGATAGTTCAAATGTTCGAATATAACTCCAATTTTCCTAAACAACTCGTAAGCAATGTTTGACTGAAATAAAATTTTCGTCGATTCCCAGAAAAATATTAGTTGCTAAGATATCACCTTTGATCATCGTTTTTGAAACGTTATCAGTATTCAATTGATAATAAAAATTGCTAATCTAATACTAAAAACCTCTTTTTTAGTTATCTGCTCTATGTATTCTACTAATAAGAGTACATAATTATCTCTCATCTATAATCCTTCTAAATTCACTTTATAACCTTCACTTGAACAGCCGATCCAATTTACGGTTAATCCAAATTAGGGATTTTGGACATAATCTAGAAAAGAAGAGAACTTCCTGGATCAGGTTTTGAGAGGAATTTGTTTTCGTAGAGAACTTTTTGGTGCAACTATCCCACATTTGCGTAACATTGGAGAGGAAAACCACGAAAGCCTATCTCGGTTAGCCTGATGGCAAGGGGATTTTAACCCATGATCCGTCTATCGCTGAGGATATTTTACATCAGCACTGTGGTCGGTGAGAGCCGGGTGCGGAATTCGTATCGACCAGCCACTGTATCCTACCAGGTTCACCTGATCGGGAGGCGAGCTCTCCATCCCCTGAGCCACCACGGCTCAATACTATCATTTTTATATCATGATCGTCGTTGAACAGCCGACCCAATTCTGGATTTCGATTACCAATGTTCAATTCTGTATCCTTGTAATTTTGATCACAATCCAAAAGACAAGAGAGCTCGTGGATCAGTACTCCCAGAGGTATTGATTTGTTATGGAAACATGGAGGACTTTGTGACCTGACAGATTTAACGTGCATCAGTCACTACTTACTACACGGAGAGTCTTCGGCCGGCGATCTCTTCGACATGGGCCCAGTGCCCTACGAACTAGGCTATCCTAGCCCTCTCTTGTAATTTTATTTTATATCCGATTTTGGGTTCTCTCTTGTAGTTGAAATTGGGGATTCAAGGTCACATTCACTTCCTTCGTCGCTATGGTAACAATGCTACTGCCAACAATGCCACTATTTTTTTTCAAGCCGCAATTAATGAGTATCTATAACTCATAACTGTATATTATTATAATTACGGGGGAAAGTGAGATATGCGCATACAGTGGTGGCACAGTGTACAATCGCCGCATTTCTGCGTTATGTGGTTTGGGCAGAATATCGAAAATACGATATTTCATTTATGAAAACCATTGTTATTGATTGAAACGTGTGCTATTATAGAGTCAGCACTTTTACGAGGTATTTAAGATAATCTACGCAAAACCACACGCAGAAATTAAAAATTCTTGAAGCTCTCTGCCCTTATTGTTTAAGTACAGAAGTAAAGAGTGATAAATGTTGGCTTACCTAAGTTATTGAAGGAATAAAGTATATCCCCCTTACCGGTAACTTAAAACATAACTATTCTTGTTCGTCCAAGCCGTATTTTAATTCCAAATTATGATACTAAAATATTATATATGCTTATGTGAGTGCCCAGATAGCACAGACTGTCTGAGTGACGTCACAATAAAGTCAAAAACAGTTATAGTAGTCAAAGTCACACTGAATAACTGCTTTATACTACTCCTAATAGGTCTTAATGTGACTTTGGTGCAACTTTATTTTGCGACATCTCATAAAAGACCTCAGTGGCTATTTAATGACTGACACTTTGCAGTCACAACCATACATAACTAGGACTAAAGTCAATGAGAAACGTTGACGCAAATTTGTTACCATTAAAGTCACGTGGGATCCCTTTCACATCGTTGTGTTACTAAAGTCACTTTTATGTGATTTGTCTCACAAATTATTAAACTCACTCTAAGGTTCTATGTGAAATTTTAATTATCAAGTGACAGCTTTATTGTTTTTATGTGACAGATTTGCATTTGTTTGTGTTCGTGTATCAATTGATTAATGTTGTAATACGTTAAAAATAAATATAAATCGGAAGTTTATAGAAAATCTCCTGAATAAAAACCCATTACATGTTTAAATACAAAAGTATCGCCTATAAACTCCTAATATGTAATTATTAAAAAACTACAGTGCTTCTAATAATTTCGTATATTTATTATAATATACTTACATAATACCTGATGTATTAAATATTCTGTATTTATCTAACATATCATCTAATTTATCCAATCGTTGAATTAACATTATATATCGCCTAATTTAACCAATTGATACACTAACGTAAACAAGTGCAAACGGGTTTTAGCTCCGTAAAAAAAATAAAACTGTTTAGCATCATCTGATGATTAATATTTTACATAGAATTTTAGAGTGCGTCTAATAGTTTGGCCAGGGACTGTATATTATAAGAAAATAGATTACAGTAGCAGTAACTTTAGAATACAATAACTTACAGCAAATTATTATTAGATAAGTTAATGTGTATAAAATATTATTTCTCACATTTGAATATTTTTGATTCTGTTTTGAGAGGCTCTAAATACAACCGATCTAAATACAATTGTTATTGCTAGCTAAATAAAGATTGAAATGATAATTTGCAAGATTAGTGCCCTTTGAAGGTGCTCTTTTTTTGTCACACTCCCCTTTTTCATTTTTAGGGAGATTACTGTAATTGCAATTATTGTCTCATTCTTACATAAGCATATTTTAAATGTTGATGTAGCAGATTTTTAAAAATTATTTACCAGTGCTAAAATACTCCTTATCAAAATAAAAATGGTACACTTTAACTGTACCATCCCTAGTAGCAAAATCACTTTGGAATTATTGGACCAATATTTATGAATCTTGGCTCCGATTCACTCGATTTTTTTACTGCCACCTTGCTACGAATATCGGCATATATATAGAATTGTCAGATTCACCTAATATTTTGCATGCATTATTTAGCCAATGTTGGCAGGCCGGGATAGCTTGGTTGGCAGAGCGCTGGACTTCCGTTCGTGGGAACCGGAACTCAAACCCTACCGGCCGAAGACTCCCTATGTAATAAATGGTAACTGGTGCACGTTAAATCTGTCGGGTTATGAAATCCTTCATGTTACCATATCAAATTATATCTCTTTTGGGACTGAATTAATCGTTCTCTGATTCAGGTCAAAATTACGGTCAGTCGATGAATGGGTGGATGGATGTAAGAATGGTTTCACCTTATAAATGGGACAAATGGAAAACAAGAATAATCACACCCCATGAATTAAAGGCAACAACAGACAATATAGGTTCTATATAGGCCATTCTTGGACCCATATTGCATGTTTTTAGAGAATCACATGTTAAGCCACTATTTAACCTAACTGCAGTTGGGTTTCATGGAGCAGGGGGGAAAATTGTCACTAGGGATGTAATTCTGTTCTGTGAGAATTAGTATTACATAAAACAACTTATTTATTATCAATTGTAACGTTGATGTATTTATAAATGAGATTAGTTTGACCTTAATATCTTTCACTATGCTATATCAAGAAAATACTTCACTTTTATATTGACTTAAAATGAAATTTCTAAGATTTACTTTTTGGGAAAATCGCACGTGTTCAGGCTATATTTATTAGAACCTACATAAAAAATGGCAACTAAGGAAAGATTAATTAGAGCAAAGGTATGAATAAACCATTGAAAACCGTTTGTCAAATGAGACTGAAAAGCAATGTCTAGTGTAAATAGTTGTATTTCAGCTGCATCCCGGAAATTCGAGTGCTTTTTATTGATTTCAATACACCCTTTGCTTTAATTGTTCGCGATAATGATTCGCCACAAAAGATTTTTCACTCAATATGATTGTCACTTTTATTCTTACCATTTTTTGGCAAACATTCTAAAACTGATGTGACGAAACAGTCCATTGTTTAAAGAGACTTTGGTTAATAACTCGTAATTGGTTTCATGAAGTTCAAGGTTGTCCCATTATTTGACTCTTTTTGTTATTCTTATTCTTTTTATTGCTCGTGTAGCCTTTAAAAAAATTTTTTTAAAACCTTATTTCAAAAATTTAATCTAATTGAGTATTTCATCCAACAAGAGTTGAAAGTCAGAGCTCACAGTTTTAGTGGTTTTCTTTTGCGTGTAACGCATATTCGGGTTATTCTCTTAAAGCATCCTCAATTGTTATTTTACGTCATTATTTAAATTAGGCATTACATTAATTTCTGAATTGGGGTAGTGTCTACTATAGTTTCTCAGTATGAATCCACTGAGCTTCGAAAACAAAAACACCACACTATGTAACAAACATGAAGGAATAATTTTTTTAATCAAACATTAACATTTTATTAACTGGACAATGACAATACTTTTGACATAAATTAAAATAATTTGATATTTTCAAATTTTAAAGTAAATAAACATTATTAAGAAAAAAATACAAATTCAAGCTACAGTAGGCAATCCAAAATAGTTATCTTCAACTATGAACTAAATATAAAAATTGAAACATTTGAACAAAATCATAATAGGTTGTAAGCTTAAAATACCTTAATAAATGTTTCTGTAATTAAAATTTTTAATTTTCACAAATTTTTCTTAAATGCATTGTTTTTCAAAGTTTCATCAAGAAATTTATTTGCATAATACATTATTTATATAAAAAGAACTCTATGGATGTATTTACGGGTATATTAATTAAACTATTTTAAATCATTAATTTTATATTTATTTAATATTTATTTAAAATGAGTCAGAATCAACTAAGAATAATTTTCAATTGGGAGTCTACTGTAGCCTAAAGTGAAAATTAAAATTTTTTTGTTATTTACAAGTCAAAAATACAGTTTTTAATCTAAATTCCATTATAAAATCAGTTACCATCAGTATACAGACTTATGAACTTTCCAATCTCGCTATCATTTATCAGAAAAACCATAACAGAAATATATACATGTCAGCCTTTATGAAATTTAAATTTACTCACATTTAAAGTGTATTTATTCTTTAATTCGATATAGATATATAAAATAAATTAAATTATGCATTAATTTACTATTGAATAAAATAAGTAACACTTATGTAAAGATGCCAAATTACGAAACAATTTACAACATCAGTGAATGAAATCATCCTTTTGAAAGTTTTTTTTAAATCATTAAATTTAAAGTATTATTTAATAAAAAATAATAGTAAGTTAGCAAAATATTATGTGCTGTCATACAGAAAGAGATTGTTACGAAATTGTCAAAAACTACAATTTTTGTTACACAATTTTCAATATAAAACAATAATAATTATGGAAAACTCGAAATGTTTGACACTTCTGAGTATATCACTAGTATACAATCACCAGCATGTGCAATCAGCAGTAAGAATTTATCATACAATCGTGTACAAAAACAGCTGAACAAAAAAAGTTTATTTTCTAAATAAAAAGAAATTAAAAATAGCCCAGGATTCCATAAATTTAAATGAATAACAATTATTTATGATCCGGTTTGTCATTAACTTTATGTATAAAATTAATTTAATTCAAGAGTAAGGTAAAGCTACGAGCAAGCTATAAAAGGATTTCAGCAGTATAAAGCTGGAAAAGGATTTTATTTTGATTGCTATTAAGACATTATAGAAATGTAAGACTAGAGTAAAAAAATTATTCTAACAAAAAGTCAAAAAAAGCAGAAAAAATTAACTCTTAAAATGAAATAGTCTTCTTATTAACAGACCTACTATTTTGTGTACACGTAGTTTTTGTCAAGTAGATAAGTCGAACAGTATAAAAGCTATAAATAAATATATATTTACTGCTGATTAATGAGTTATATTTTTAGAGACATACTGAACATTTTAAATTATTCGTCAAACGTTAATAAACCATAAATTATCGACTTTAATCTACTTGACTTTTGAACACTTTCTATATAAAAAAAAGATAGATGGATAGGCATTTGTGTACAATCGGCGCTCCATATAATATCCCCTGTAGTTCTTCTGAAAGTGGCTGTTACAATGTGAAGAATTTTATGGTAAGAACATTTTATTAAGTTAACGTTTACAATAAAGTATGCAAAAAACGTTTGGAATAACGTAATACTAAAATAATGAATGGAAGAAAAAAAATAACGTTGGTTAGAAGCAGTCATTCATCTAAACAATAACAATCTAATCTATTCGTCGCAATCTATTCCGTTTTGTCTGTCAGATACTTGAAATTTAAAAACTATGTTTTTGAACTCACCCCCAGAAATCACTTAAAAGAACTATATAAATATTAAAACAAAGAAAACATTTTCAGACGCTTCAGTATGATTGATAAATTTATAGTACCTTTCTACAAAAAATTTGAAAATCGGTATAACATTTCCTATGCAATTTAATGTTTTCAATTTCTTTTAACTTTCTTGCAGTTAAAATATAAAATAATTAGTTTGAGGTAGCCAAATACTTATGCATTGACAGAGTCAACTTGTAAAATACTGTTTTTAATCATTTAATTATCCATCCAGATCTTTTCGTCTCGACAAAAGATCTCTCAAAGCCGTTGTCATTTCGTGACAACCAGGGTTGGATCTATTGAACCATTCAATTCAACAAACAAAAAAGAACAAAAAAAAAAAAAAAAAAAAAAAAACGATACATTTTGGGATATTAACAAAAATTGCTATTTTAGTACTATATTATTTTTTAAAGGTATTTTTAATTGGACACGCTATTTGGAAGAGAAGATATTCATCGGCCTTAATTATTTCCTCTGTTCATGGAATTTCTATAATAAAAAATGCGTGTAAATCTATTTCAAATGTGTCCATAATTATCATCTCTGCATCCTCATAAGCGTGGCAATAGAATTTCTAGAATTCAAAAAGAGCCACGCAATAGTGATAGCCGAATTACGTGTAATTTCTATAAAAAAATGCTGTAATAATGCAAAAAATAATGAATCGTTCTTATTGAAATTGTGTAAGCTTTTTCCGCATAAGGTTGTTTAGAAATTCAATGAAATATTAAACAAAATAATAACTTTAAAATTTTTAACAAATTGTATGCAAAAAAGGATCCATTTTTGGTAATTTTAAATCTTGCAAAATAAATAGCGTTTAAAAGTGATCCATACGATGCATAAATGAGCCAACATTTATACTTTTCTTTGATGATCCAACTGGAAAGGCAAAAAAAAAAAAAAAATGTAATCTGCGTAGCTTTGTTCTCCAAAAATGTGTGGCTGTTGCTAAGAGTAATACCCTGATATAAATATATTGTTCATTTAAAATAGATAATTTAATAGATAATTTGTTAAAGCACTCCTAGGCAAATTCCGATTTAACAAACAACACTTTTTTTTAACCTTCTTCCAATTGTTAGTTCATTATTATTGTAATAAAAGGTGTATTAATCTACAGGACTGAAATGGAATGTGCATAAATAACATTTAAGCATTCCGTGGAAGCCAACCGTCCACTAAAATCGTTGCGAGAACATTGTGCCAAATCCATAAGTTAGACACATTTAAGAAAAAAAAGATTCAGGGAAATTAATCTTTACAAGGCATGAAAAGTTAAATTAATTGCTGCATTTCTATATTGATATTTATCACATTAAACATGAATTGCATTAATAATTTACAGAATAGTTTAAAACTTAAATTAATTGCCTAGTAAAGTTTGAAATTAAAGTTTTATTATAGTTTTTCAAACTTTATTTTGCTGTTAAGTGTATTTAAAACTATACCTTTTTAGTCATTTATTGAACATAGATTTACCTTAACGATCATTAATGATGGTAGTTTTTTTTAAACTCCTAAATAATTACACTCTGTTTCATACTAACTTCGTCCCCTTTAATTTGCCTAAGTTGTCCAAATTAAATCTGTAAATTATTTCCTCTTTTTTTGTAGGGGATAGAATTATACAATTGAATTTACAAAGATTTGAATTTAGAAACCGGTGATAATGATTACATTAAAGGATAGTTTTGGCCTATTTTGATAATGTATTGGCAGATTTAATTTCAAAAAGCGGCACTTATTTAATAATCCATTGATTTTAATACGTGACGGACACTGTACCTAACTCTTATTCAAGTTGATATAAAGAAAAATTAAATACACTCTGAAAAGTAACCCGAATAACTATTAATCTATAATTATTTCTATAAATTTTCAAAAGTACTCTTTTATTTCCCTCAATTCTAAACTCTACGATTGCACCTAATTATTGTCTTTTCCACATTTTTGCTCTTAATAACAGAAAAAATATCAAACTCAGTATAAAGAGAAAAGTTGTTTTATTTTGTTGCTTTTTCCTAAAAGTGTGTTAACATCTTACAGCACAAGCATTACGCCATTTTTTTTTGCGAAAGAATAGTGTAGTGAATATCAGGATTTAATAAATCCTCTAAATTTTTTCGGCGATTTTTTATTCACGTATTTGGATTAAAGGTATGTTTAATACACATTTATAAAGTTAAGCAAATTATTTAATTATACTTTAAATTGACAGAATGTTTAGAAAGGAAATGATCCAGTTGAAATAGTTCAGACCTAAAACTATGAAAAACGGAACTACTCTTTTTTCATAAAAGTTTTTCTCTCTCCAAAAGGTGCTATGTTAGGAGATTGCAAGGACTGCAAGTATTTCTGGGTCTCTAGAAATTATTCTTTGTTTATTTGCCTCTCTTTTAAATTTCAAAGACTCTGGGACGCGATTGTGATGCTTATTGCTGCTAAGAACAAAGGATGATTGCTTAAAAGCAAGTTCTGAAGTAAATGTAATGGTATCAATGACTTACATAGGATGAGATTGCGCGGGAGAGATTTTTTTCCCCTCAATTATTTTTGTCCTTTTATTTGTATCTTTTTCCCGCTACTCCAAAAAAAATTTGATTAATATTTCCCTTCAATTAGGTACTATGCTCATTTGACTTTTAAAATTTTTTTGATTTTAAGTTCATAAATTCGAAGCAACAATAGTTCTCGTTAACACAGTAATGCATTGCACTATTTGTGAAATGCAACTTTTTTCATAAAGTTATAACCATTTCATGGAATTAAAAAAAAAATTCTTTTTGGGTGATTCTGCACTCAACTTAAAAAAATCCTGGGCTATTTTTTAAAAAAGTATTATATTCTTAAAGGATGAAAATACATATAAATCTCTTAACTGCTTTTGATGCACATCATAGTTCGCAGGCTACGTATATGCTGACTTCGTTCGTTGGCTAGGCATCAATGTAATCAAGTCATCAATCGTCCGGAGGCACTGCAAAAAATTTATATATTTTAGAATTTCTTTTACAGCAAATGCTTACAATATAAACTAATTGTGAAGTAGGAATAAAAGTTTTTTTTTTTTTTTTAAAAAAAAGACACTGTTTACCCTTGTTTTTACGCCTACCAACTTATAAATTATATGTTTCCCAGCGCACTGCGGAAACATTTCAGAATCAAACTATGGAGCAATATAAAATTTTCTTGAATTGTTTTCAATTTGTAATTTTTTTAAAATTTGATTTTTAATTTTAAAAAAAATTATAAATTTTATAAGACAAAAAAGGTATGCAAGTAACCCTTAAAAAAAATTTACTTTTTAGTCCTGCATTTTAGACAAAAATTATCAACTAATCATATCGCCTACGATTTAAAAAAATAAACAGTCTCATTCCTTCAAAAACTAAAAATCTGTTCCAAGACTCACTATTTCGCAAATGTGGTCATTCTTTTACGTTTTTAACAATAAGGCATTAATATTCTTAACGATTGTGAGCAAATGTTATTCGTCTTTAACACGTTGAATGCATTTTACATGGCTTGCCCGTCTGGCCAAAATGATTGTATCAGTATGTATTGCATGAATTTTTTCAAACCATTTTAGTAACGATTATATAAAAAAATTAAAAATTTACTCGAATTATGTTTTTCTAATAATCTTGGCTGCAACGGTGACCCCGTGGCGCTACGAACAAACTCGGTGTCAGTCACCGGTGAGCCCCATGGCATTCAACGTGTTATCAATCTAAACGTTGCGATTCTTAATCAATTGCTATAGTTGACAAACTTAATCAATCGAACACGTAAGCAGACTTTTAGTAAAAGAATGAGTGACGTAGTGACCATGAATTACATTCTTACTCCCCCCCCCCGCTGATGGGTGAAATTCTGTCATAATCGTTATTCTTTCGTGCTATACTCATTTGATTGCTGGTATATTATTTATTACTGCTGTGGGGAGAAAAGTTTCTTAGTTTGGGAACTACGCAGAAGGTTTAACGTGATGTTAGCGATTTAAAAAAAAAACAGCACTTATTTCATCCTAACGAGCAATTTTCAGTAAAAATATTACATATATATTACTCACAATACAATAAATACGATCATAAATATATTTTTAAAATTTTTTATTTATTTAATGGTGGGCACTTATTGTCTATTGGCCACAGAAAGTGCCAGAACTGCTAACTCTCTTTTCGTTACCCAGTGGGCACCTGTGGCGAAGCCACGGCGGTGGAGCAGCGTCGCCCACGCAGCACTACCACAACCCGTTTATAGGACGAGTCACATTCTCACATAAAGGAGAAACGACATAGAACACAGATAGATAGAAAGAAACATCCATGCCTTGTCCGGGATTCGAACCCAGAACCTTTCTGATGCAAGGACAGTTCCCTGCCCCCTACACAGGGCGGTCGGCCAATCTTAACTATTTTACGATAAAGAATAAAAGCTAACTATTTAGCGATACATCATTTTCCTGGTGTGTTCGGATTCAGCTCGTCTTCTGAAAAGTAAATCATTTTTGTTAACATAACTAGATTTTTTTTAAAATTTACGCACTGAAAATTTTTGAATTGGTAACTAACGTACATTCCATATTTTAAAAAAAAATTAAGTTGTACCTTTCTCTCAGTAGATCCAGTGACCTTGTTTCGGGAACATACCGTTGAACTACTTGGGCAATTCTAGTCGAACGTCTCTATAAAACAATACATTCATTTAAAAGCAGGAAAACAAGTATTTCATGATTAGAATTGCCGCTCCAGAAAAGAAAATTGAATCAATAAAGAGAAAACAAGTTAATCAACATATCCATTAAATAAGTTAAAATGGGGTTATCAAGCAATTTTGTTATATATGAAATAACGTTGGCAGCAGGAAAGTGACGCAACACATTGAATAGCTTCATACAAAAATTCTAATTGTTTTTTCAAAATAAAAAATGACTAATTGCTAGCAACCGTGGAACTTTTTTCTAAGAACACTTTCCTTCACACAAATTTTTTACTGTTAACAATCCTATTTAGTTTTAAACAAAGGTTGTTGAGAAAACAAAGAAACTCTGATTTGTTATCCACATGATGCTTAACCATTGACGCGTTTCAATGATAAGACATGTTTATGCTTCAGTAGCCGCCTACGGTCAGCCCGTGTCTCACCACTTTGAGGTTCCACGTTGGTAACTGCTGTATTCGAAAGCATTACTATTTTAAGCATGTTCAGTTGTCCCATGTACACATACATATATATATATATACACAAATATATATATATATCCAATTTATCCGAGGGTACTGCGTTTTTTAAATGAATCAAATATGACGTTAGCCAGTTCCACACATATATATATATATATACATACATACAATTTAACAGCTTCCCTTACCAATTTTTTTAAAAAAAAATGCAAAGAAATCGATATATTTTTTTAAAAATTTCATTAATAATTGCAAAGAACTAAAACGAAATATAATACACAAGTTCTAAGTTGACATTTTAATTTTTTAATGTGTAAAAATATTTAATTTACTATCAGTTTACTATCCCAAATTATCTCGGGCAAATGAAGAAAGTTAAATATTAGTCTTTGCATATATTCACATCTTCATCATCCTAAAAATCATCTGCATTACTTTTACTTTCTCTCGTGAAGGCCATTTTTTTAAATTCTTTTTTCTATGTTAATTCGTCAATCATCATATGTCATACACAATGTCACAAAACACGTCTGCAGTCTCACAAACAGTCCCGAACAAAATGTTGGCTAACTTCCAATCGCTGCAGATTGTTATTATTTTTCGCTTTGCTTCGGGCCGAATATGAACGTGATAAAACAAAACGTATTGACGAAATCTGCTATGCCAGAGTATAGTCGGGATCAGGGTTCGAAAAAACTCAGAAATTTTACCCGTCCCCGAGGACGGCTTGTCCAACAATGTACCCGTCCTCCTCTGAAACTAACCCACCCGTAGCTTCTAAATAAACAAAAATATTATTTTTTCTTATTTATTACAAACATTTATATAGATTACACAATGAATTAGTAGCTACTAGGATTACATTATACAGTAATAAAAGAAAACTAATAGTAAAACCTAGTATTTCTATCATAAAATAATTTATTTCTTTGATGAAAGAATTTAAATGACAAAGGTCAAGTTATCTAGAATGCCAATTTATTCGGGGGTACTGCGTTTTTTAAATGAATCAAATATGACGTTTGCCAGTGTTTGCCAGTTCCACAATCAAGCTAATGATTTACAGAGGTTTCTGCACAGAAATCGGAAAGAGGATTTCCATTTCGGTAGATGTTCATAATCGCGTTGAATGCTTGCTTAATGTGTTTTTTTGTAAGTTCTTTGCTGAAAAGTCCCTCTCAACTGCTGCAGTACTCACAGACCGAAAAAACATCTATCCACCATGCGCTGTACGGGATTTCTAGATTAGAGGGTCATTTTAGAAGTGAGGCGCTAGACTCTTGTAAGATAACAAAAATTTAAAGTGTATCACAACCATTAACGGGAAAATGGCCGCCCGCGCGAACGTCTGATTCGAGAAATTCGTTGTCCGCGGGAAATTTTTGACCGCCGAGGACGGGCGGTTTTTCGACCCCTGGCCGGGATAATAAATATTTGTAATATATACTTGCTACTCGGGATAATCAAGAAATCTGCTAAAAGGTTGGAAACAGTAACAGAAATGGAGAATGGCTTAAAACTCAAATAAAACGTTTCATTACTCATTTCAAAAAGCTAACTTTTTAAATTAGAAAATAAGAATGTTTTGCTTTTAACTGAAATTACAATCTCTTCTGAATGAATACTTGTTATGCAGTAAAAATTTATAATAATGAAACATAACTTACTGGTGGAACCGCAACAGGTGGAACATCTGCTGGTCTTAGGCGAACGATATGCGGAGACCGGTAATCACTGTATCAAAGATAAAGAAACAAAATATAAGTAAAAATTTCAATCAATTTTTATTTTTTTTATTTATACAGTCAAACAACGCTACAATGCACACGGTTTATTGTGAACTCCCGGATATAGTGAACGAAATGCTGGCTCCCCTGCCTTGCTACACATGTATAATGTTGTTATTCTTTGTGGATATAGTGAACCTAAGGCAGTAGGGAAGTTGGATAGTATGAACTTTTTTCTGTCTTATTTTCTTTAATTTTTGTAATATTTTTGAAATTTCTACTTCAAAGCAAAGACATATACAGATTTTTAAAACCATCTATAGCATGGAATGTAGCAATAAGCATAAGTTTTTCTTGTTTGCTTCATTATTGAATGGGTTCAGCATTCAATGAAGCCGCCCTCTTCCAGTATCTGGACAAATGCTTCAAGTCAAATCGGATGAATTTGCTAAAAGACTTTGAGATTACTTTTATGTGCTCAAATGGCTGGTTAGACAGGTTTAAGAAGCCGAATAGGGGTTCAGGAAAAATTATCAGAGAGTCGGGGTTGAAGATTGCTTATCAGCAAAAATTTAATTTTAAAAAAATTTGTAAGTAAGACGAAGGGTCATAAAAAATAAAAGTGAACACATATTTGTTACTACGTATTATTTTTCAGTCATTTTTGCATTTCATTCCATGGGTCATTTATTTAAATAATGTGTAATGAAAGGGAGGCGTTTGGAACCATTAGTAGAAATCGGTTGCGGAATGGTTACAGTGAAGTTCCGGTTATAGTGAACTGAAATTTCGGTCCATTGAAGATTCACAATAGCGGGGTTTGACTGTACTATGTTATGGGACTCAAGATATTGACTTGCATAAAAAATTTACCCATTCTAGAAAAAGGTTGACAAATTTATGGTAGAGTAGGGAAAATGTGAGAAGTGTCATAATTAAAATGAAGATTTTACACTGTTGCTTAATATATAAGACCCATAAATATTAGTTTAACATATGATAATAGCATTTATAGATAAAAAGACGCTTTGACTTACCCTACAGGATTCGGAACCTGCTGCAGTAGAGGTTGCAGCAATATAGGTTCGTGCAATTGAGTTTTTTGCACTTGAGGTTGCGGCGATGGTGGTTGCTGCAACGAAAATGAACATTCATTAACTAATTGAGACTATTTATCTTATAAAAAGAAAGTTTCATGTAAAAAAAAATATTTTTTTTATCAGAAAGAAAAGAAAAGAAAGAAAATTAAGAAAAAAACAAACATTTTTCAGCTTAAAGAAAAATTTGGATTTTATTGTTACGTATCTAACATTGCATAGACATCAGATATATATCAGGTAGCTACTAAAAAACAAGAAAAACATCGTTAATTATGTTATATTATTTCATTCATCACTATTTATTTTATTATTTCATTTGTTATCATTTTCTTACTCTGAACTGAATGAAATTAAATCAATCCATTTAATAAATAAGATGAATAATTCAGAAGTTATTTGATTTTTTTCAATACGAAACATTGGATTTTATCAAATAATTTTATTTAGGGGGACAAAAAACTTATAACTGCTGAAGTGTTATTTCTTTTGTTGGTTAAATTCGACGATATATCATATAAATTCGAGGATTGGATAAATTTGACGATCTATTGTATAAATTAGAATATTTTTTACATAAGGTATTATATTAATATATTATTATAACTAGGTCAAATTAATAGACACACTGTAGTTTTTTAATAATTACATGTGCGGCACGAGTTTACCGGCAATACTTTTATATTCAAACATGCATGTAATGGGTTTTTATTCAGGAGACTTTTTATATGCTTCCTATTTGTATTTATTTTTAACGTATTGTATTACAATGTTAAACGATTAATACACGAACGGAAACAAGTTCAAACTCTTGCGGTATTTCCTGTCAAATTCGATCCAATTGTCGAACGAGGTCATCAACATTCCGTGCCAGATGCAATCGCCTTCCTATCATACCCCAGACATACTTGATGGGAGAGAGATGTGATGATCTGGCAGGCCAAGGAAGAGTTTGACAAACCTGCAGACAGTTCATAGCAACACGTGCCGTATGTGGTCTGGCATTGTCCTGCTGAAAAACCAGCCCAGGGTGCTGCAAAATAAACGGTAGCAAAACAGATCTTAGGATATCGCCGACGTACCGCTGTGCTGTAAGTGTAACTCTAATGACGACCAAAGGGGTCCGGCTGTCAAAGGAAATGGCACCCCAGACCATAATGCCTTGTTGAGGGCCGGTGTGGCATGCAATAGTGAAGGCAGGATCCCTCCTCTGCCCTGTGCGTCTCCAAACACGTCTTCGATGATCGTCAGGACACAGTTGGAAGCGGGATTCGTCGCTAAAGACTATACGTAACCAGTCGGCATCATTCCAGTCATATCTGTTCAAAACTTTCATGCATACGAAATTTCAAAGCAATTGGATGATTGCTTCCTGGTGCGTCAATTTTTTTGTTATAGAGCAGGGGCAGGGATGGTCAAACTACGGCGCCCGCAGGCCAACTGTGGCCCGCCGGAAGGTTTTATCTGGCCCGCGGATAGAAGTTTAACTAGCCGATCCGTGGCATATATAAACAATATACATCCATTTTCTTGTCGACTTTGTTTAAAACTATTTCTGCTCTTTTTTTTTTAACACAGTACTGATGACCTTTTTACTTTATCTATTTTTATTCTAAAACCGTAAATTGATGGAAATAGTTAGCACAGACAGCTTTAATTGGTAAAATGAAAGCAGAAGTTCTTCATAGAATTGCCGTAGATTGCTCCAGATTTGTCTTTTTTGAGGAGCTGACTTATGGAATCTAATATAGGTGAATTATACTTCGCATGTGGCAGACTGCTCATTTTACGCTCCAACGAGCGGACAATCTAACAATCATCTGAAGCAGTTGTCTCTAAATATGCCAAAGTTTGAGTTTTACAAATCATTACCAAAAGCTAGTTTCCAAAATCTAATATTTCATGCCCAGAAAATCAGTGCTATGTTTGCTTAATCTTATGTATGTGAACAAGTGTTTTCAACTATGAACCGTAGAAAAAATAATTTCAGAAGTAGACTAACAAACAAGCATTTAGCCTCGTTTCTTAAAATAAACACATCTCACTTCGAACCGCAAAATAGAGAACTTTTAAAAATGAAATCGCTATTTCATTCATCTCACTAAATATTTAAATTGAAACTTGTATATCTCTTTTTCTTTCTTTTTTTTTTTTTTAAATTTTTACTTGGTTTTACTTGGCCTACCAAATATTTTTGCTCTCGATATTTTGCATGATTCTCGATTCATGAATTCAATTTTAAAAAACAGAGAAAAACGAAGAAAAATGAAAAAGAAAATTTAAAAAAAAAATAATAATAGGCTTTATTTACTGCGCATACGTTGCAAGCATACAGAAGTCATAAAATAAGTTTGAAAAAAATAGAGAAAACATGGAAAATAATATAAGATTAACAAAAAGAGAAGAAAAAATATTAAAATACGATGTTTTTAAACATATTTAAAAAAAAAATTAAAAAAATTTAAAAAACAAAACAAAATAATGAAAAGATAAAATCTCATCATCAGCTACAACACGATAATATCCGCAAAAAAGAGTATTTTCTAATAGTGTAGCCATATATATCAATGCAGCAGTGTGAAGAGCACCCCTTAAAATTGAAACGAAACAGAAAATATGAAGCAAAAAATATATGAATTAAAAGATATAATTCAGAAAATAGAAAATAAAACGTAAGAAAAATAAAGAATAAAATTAATCTTTAAAGCGAGAAGTGAATTCAAATGAACTTACGCGTTCCAGAATCTTTAAAGAAAGGTTTAAAACATTTTCATTAAAAAGTTTTATCAGATTGCAAAATACGAAAATAAAAGAGCAAATCGAGGTTAGAAGCGTGAATATAGAGATATTTTATTGCGCGTTTTTACAGCACGTTTGATTTCGTTGATTGGTTCGTAAAAGTTCCCTTCCGGGACGTATTCCTTTACGATGGTAAATGTGATATTTCAAAATAAAGAATAATCAAAATAATAAAAATGAGTTTGAGGTAAAAGAAAGCAGATTATCTCTTCATATTATCTCTTAAAAATGCTCATGAGTAGAACTGGATGTCGAAATCCTTAAAAAACAGAACTTCAGTTTCTGATTTATCTTAACTAAATAAAGAGTAATTTTTTTCAATGTTAAAAATAAATTACTATAATTTGCTATAAAAATAAAGAAAATAGAATGAAAAAATTACTAACTGTGCGAAGGCAACTCGCGAGGTTCCTCGTGATCTGCATCATCATCAAAAGCACCGTCCATTGGACTGGGTGAGGAAGACCTTTCAGCTTCTGGTGTTCTCAGCTCTTCATCTGTTTGAGTCGCTGCATGGCATTTCAAGCTACAAACCAATCGATAATATTTGAATTATATAACAGTATTGGTTATTAAATTGAAATACGTTTCGTTTTAAAAGTAAAATGTTACAAATAAACTGAATAGGGTAGGTGTGATCAATAATTTTATTTAAGGATGAATCTTAATGGCGATTCAGAACGGCAACGAAACGTAATTCAGTTTCCCGAATAGTTTTTGGTGATTTTATTCTTTCCTCTTTCCAACTTTAACTACAGATTGGTTAGAATATATAATATGAACAACAAGCAATATTTATTTTTAAACGTATCATACTTTCCAACGTTTTAGTCTTATTATTACTAATTTTCTTACCTGCTTCTTTTTGTTTGTAAAATTCTTTCATAAGACTTAATTTTATCTGTAAGTTCTTTAACCTCTTTCTCATGGCTATCGGTCATAGTTCTTATTGTCTCCCAGAAAGCAGCATCCTAAGAAAAAAAAATCTTTTGGTTAAAAAATTTTAAATTTACGGAACAAAAAGAGCAAGAATATAAGTCATAACTTAATTCCAAAGCAAGATAAACATTTTACATGACTGTGTTTGAAATTTTTGCTTAAATCATCTTACTGTATGAATTAAACACAATCACCCTGTCCGTCGTAGGTAATGAATATATATTAAAAATTAATTAAATAAAAAATAATTGATCATAGTATTTTAAAATGCTCCTACTTGTGGAGAATCCTCTTCAATTTCCACCTCATAGTGGCCTCTTCGTCTTTCAATTATTGCATAGCGGTTGCTATGTCTTTTACAAGAGCTGTAAAAGAAGGTCTCAATGAAAGATGACATTAAATAAAAAAAAATTATTGCGTACCATTTGCTCATATTTAAGTTGTAATTATGATCAAATGAAGGAGACATTCATTTACTATTACATCTAATACAAGTAGATTGAAGATGCTATAAAATGCACAAAAAGATAAATTGTTAAATTTGAGAACAGTAAGCCTTTTTTCTACAAGGTGAACCTTTTTACCTGATTTTTTTTACTTTGGCTTAGCATAAAGCATGTGTTTTTTCTCCTTTTGGGCAAAGGTAAAGAATGAATTGTATAAAACTCAAACTACATTTTAACACCACTAAACTTTATTATATTTTATATTTTTAAATAGTACGAAACGCATGCTAGATTTAATTTGGATAATTTACATTAATAGCTACTGCCTAATTGCTGGGTAAATCTTAGAATCCTTTTCGAAATCTCGCCAAATTAGGTTTGTGGTAGATCTGGTTCATCAGAGTAAAGGTAAGTTATTGTTTTTTTTAATTTATTAAAAATATTTTAATGAATTTGAATAATAAAAAAGCAATTTTAATTCAAGTAATAATCGCTCCCTTGGCGAGATTTCAAAAAAATCATCCAAGGGGTGGGCAACCCTGACTGGGTAAATGACAGGCCAAAAGTAGAGAAAATTGTCTCCTCCCTAATGTCTGTTGTAAAAGTCTTCGTATGTAGTAGCTAAATTTAGTTACTTCCTTCTTTAAAATCGAAAAATAAATACCGCAGCAAAAACAGAAATTAAATTAAATAAAAAATAAACAATTACTAGTAATACGTTTTAAAGTACAGATTAAGCTTACAAAATAAAACTTGAACTATCTAAAATATTTTCTTGCGACTAATATGTACGACTCATACAAATATTTTGCTTGGAAAAGATAAATGCTAATTAAATGATATTTGAAAACCAATATACATCCCGAAATTATCATGCTCCTCTTTTATAAGTTTCTTTTCGTAAACAACACTAGTGTGTTGTCTTCCACAATCTATGCATTTCAGTAACAAAAACAAAAAAAAAAGTTGTGCTCGCGGTGAATTGTGTCAGCTACAGATTGAGCTTGCTGTTCCGACGACGTTCACCTAATTCTTCTTCTACTATTTATTTGTTACGAATTGCATGCGATGTATGTTATCCCGACAGAGGGTGAGAGTAAAAATGGCGCGACCCCCATTAAAGTCGCAGTTAATTTTGAAATTTTAAAAGATATTGCTGTTGCTTGCCTCCTGTAATCACATTGATAGAGAATTACGATTACAAGTAACAAAATCGCTGATAACATAGGGTCGTGATTATTTGCAATCACCAAAAAGAATCAAATAATCAAGATTACAATGAATTAAAATGGGAAATTGAACATGCCATTCTAATTACAAATAAACGAAATGTATGATTACAGGTAATCACAATTATCAAAATATACGATAAGAGTATGAATTCCAATCATCATCTTATCATAGGACACATTATATAAGCGTGCACAGTAAGCCAAAAACTAAAATGGACCACCCTGAATAACTTTGATCGGATTTTGACGTTCTAGGACTCAATAAAATGGCTACAAATATGCTAATGAGGGACGGTATAGCCTGGTTTGTAGGGCATTGGGCCCATGTCCAAGAGTTCGTGGGTTCGATACCCGCCGGCCGAAGACTCCCAGTGTAGTAAATGGTGACTGACGCACGTTAAATCTGTCGAGTCACAAAGTCCTCCATGTTCCCTTAACAAATCAATATCGATACAGGAGTTTCCTTGTTTTCTGGATTGGTTCAAAATTACAAGGCTACGGAGTTGAGCAATAGTAGATAGTACTCGAAAACCCAATATTGGGTCGTATATTTTAAGTTGCAAAATTAGGCACAAAAACATACTTTCTCTGAAAAAACATAATTTTTCCCGACTGATTTGGATATTTGAAATATATTCATATATGTGTAAAGCACTTTTATGGTGCAAAACACCTTAATTTTAAATGATGTAAAACACCTNTATCTCTCTGGCTCTCCCTTACAAACAAATAAAATAAACTATGTTTTTAACTTCCACCTTTGAAAATTTGATTTCCGGAAACTTCTGTGATCAATGATTTTCTGAAACGTCTGGACCTCTAATCTCCGGAAACTTCCGGATCACTGTTAGCAAAAATTCCGGAAATCCGTATTTTTTCCGGAGCACAATCAGCCCTGTATATGTGTAAAGCACTTTTATGGTGTAAAACACCTTAATTTTAAATGATGTAAAACACCTTACGATTCAAGTTAATGTTAATTTAAAAAAAAAATTTATTATTTTTTCCGACTAATATTAAATTAAGAAATAATAAATATTTTTTTAAGTTACTTTTTTGTGGAATTATCATTGGGTATATCAATTTTATAATTGTGTGCAGACATTTCGATTCAAAAGTTCTGGAGACATGGTGAAATACGCAAAAAGTAAAATTAAGATTTAGGGGTGCAAACTTTGGACAGCACTCCTGACAAAACTATTGGGACCTTATTTCTCAGATTGCGGCTACCCTTTATATTTTGGTGTTTAGATATCCGACTTGGCCAACAAAAAAATTATGTATATTCAGAAGAAGTTTGTTTTTTCGTCTGATTTTCCAACTTAAAATATAGTTTGTACTTATTAATTAGCATATATGAGGTCAACCCTTCGAACGAGAGTCTCAAAATGGGAAGATCCGATCATTGGATCAAAAGTCATTCGAAAGTTTTCAGCGCCCCCCATTTTTTATACACCCCTAAAACTTAAAAACCACAATTTCATTACTTTAATTAATTTAGTAATATTATTAGTCGGTTCTGATGTTTAAACTTATATTCTAAACTAGAAATTTTTACCAGAGCAAATAAAGCCCAACTTTATAATATTAATAATATATTTTAATCAAATTAAAAGAAACAATATAAATATGTAATAAGTTTTCGTTTTTATACTAATCTAATGAGATGGAAGAATTTGATGATATTTAATAAGTTTGTTCATATCAGGTTCGATTTTACCCAAAAACAGTCGCAAGTCGCCGCGGTTGGTAACTTGCAAATGATTTCTCTTTTTAGTAAGCAGCGTTGTCACAGCGCTAAATCCACGTTCACCCAAATATGACAATGGGAATGCTTTAAAAAACCGTTCAACGATAGACCACAATCAAGGGTACAACTGTGGAATTGACTTATGTAGCTAAAATTGTTGGTAGCCATTTTTGTATTTGATTTTTATTTCCTCGCTCGCTGTCAGTTCTATAAGTTCTTCTTTCAACTGGGGTGATATTGCTATGTTGACATTTTAAAAAGGATCTAACACCCAGTCAGGTATTTCCAATTTCAAAATGTCCTGGAATCTTTCAATGAAATCACTGTGAAGATTTTCCAAATGTTGGCAGTAGACGAGCAAGTCGTTGTTGTTGCAGGATACTGATAAATTGGAAAAATTAGGGAACTCACGTCTGCGGATATTCTTTTTGTGTAAGAGCAGCAGACACTGGACTCTGTAATGGGCTAATTGTTAAAAAAAATTTCTAACACAACTTTTTACGAACTTAAATTACGAAAAACCGTTGCAGAAAAAGAGTAAATTTAAACTTCTTGCATGAGTTTACCTAAACATATTATATACCTAAATATTCAAAGGAATTCATTGGTGAATATATTGGAACTGAGAAAATTATTACAAATGAAACTTTCTATTCATTTTCATTATCTTTTTTTAATTAACTTAGGGAAATAAATTTGGTTGCGTTGAAGCAAACCCACTGAAATCAAACATTACGATGAAACAGTTCTACAAGCTTTTTTCCTGTAAGAAGTGATAAAAATGCGAGGTCAGTTTAAAAGTTTGCTTTTCCGCAATTCCATTTTTCCACTCCTTTGAGAAACGTATTCATTGGAGTCTCTTTTAAGCCTTCCCATTATTTCAACTGTTTTCAATTGTAAACTGATTAATCTGAGACCGTGGAGAATTCCAATATGAATTGATTCCGATATGAATTGTATCACAATTATCCCCACGACACTTGTCCACTTTACATTAGGGCAACTAGTGCATTAAAGAAACTTACTTCTCTCACGGCTTCCAGCCTGATGATTATAGGCGATCTCCTCCTGTCACAAAGAAATTTTTTTTTCTTAATTTGGAATTTGCAAATTAATACAATGATGCAGGAAATCTGATACACTGTAAAAAACTGTTGTAATATCCCGCCTAATAAGATCTTTAATAACCCAAAACAAATTATGTGAAGGAGCATTTTATTTCAGGCAAATATCAAATCAAGCATTCATATACAATTTAAACAGTGTAATTTATATCCAAACACTTTAAATGGACTGACATTAAACTCCTGCACTATTACACCATACAAGAATTATTTTCATTTCCGAAAACACCAATATTGGCACTTTTTTAAACGTCGTCAGTTGTTTGTTAATCTAGAATAAGATGGCGGAACTTTTGTAGATGTTTTCTCCGCTGCAATTCATTACATAAAAACAAAAGTTTGCCGTTAAAATATGTGTGTATGTATTTAGTTGAGTAATAAGGATAATAATATTTCGATTATTAAATATTTGTGAACTTAATGATTTTATAATGCATATTTTCTATCTGTTTTTGTTCTGTTAAGTTATATTCTTTTAATATTTATAATTCTTTTTAATATTTTCACCGAATGCATGTTAGATTTACGTACTTATTTTATTTTCAGAATTAGTGTAGGCAGGGTCGTAAATTAATGATCCTCACTTTATATTTTACAGTAAAAATAACTTTACTGATTCTCATGTGTATCTTAACTTACTGTTGGTGTTTTTAATTATATATAAATGTTTACACTTTTATACAATTTTGCAAACATCTTATCAACTTCATACCATTTTAATTCCAGCTTTCTATATGTACTTATTCTTTTTGTCTGATTTTATTCATTCCCTTTATCTGATTCAATTCATCTACGTATAATACTTTATCTGTTCAGGACAAGTGAATCTTAGCATGCACTTTGCCTTTTGAACTGTTTTACGGTATTGTTCGGCGCAACATGTCCTTTTTTAGATTCTGTGCCTACATTCAATTCAATTCAATTCTCGGAAGCTACTTAGCTCCAAATTGGGTAAAACAGGTGTTTCAATATCCTTGGTTCTACTCTAATTTAATCTAAAATAATAATCAATTTTTTTAAGTGTTGAGATACACTANCAATTCAATTCTTGCTACATAAAAAAAACAGTCTCGGAAGCTACTTAGCTCCAAATTGGGTAAAACAGGTGTTTCAATATCCTTGGTTCTACTCTAATTTAATCTAAAATAATCATCAATTTTTTTAAGTGTTGAGATACACTAAAGGTTTTTACTGTGTATGAATTGAAACAATTGATGTCAACATCAAAATCACTAAAAATGTGAACATAATTACTTAATTGAGAAATAATTTGCTTAACATGGTTTAAATATTGAAAAGTAAATAAAAGTCAGAATGTTGAATGGAGAAAAAGTTATTAGTATCGTACAAATGCAATGGCTATTTTATTTAATTGCTTGATTTATAAACTATATGAATATTAATCTAGCAAATTACATTAATTGGTTATATAGATAAACAAAACTGAAGAAAAGAACATTAATACTCACATTGCTGGCACAGCATTCTCATCATCATCATTCTGCAATTGAATGAACATTGATTAACATATTGAGGTTATTTATCTAATTAGCTGAAATTAGCATGTAAAAATTATAGGATTGTAATTAAATAACAGAAAAAAGTTTGCTTTAGTTTGATTTTTCTTTTTTATCGAAAGCAAGGAAACATTTTGGTGACAGTCATATCAGATCACTGATTGGCAAGTAGAAAATGCAAAATATATAGCCATAATAGTTGCAAAAGTGCTTAATATATAATATGCAATTTTTAAAATTTAAGGTAAAACGAACCGAGAGTCAGAAAGGTTTTTAGCAAACAATGTCAATAATTAGACTTTTATTTTCTGAAAAACTCAGAAAAGTACACTTAATTTTGTATTTATCTCGTAAACCTAAATATTATGATGAGACACATTATAATATCTCACAGAAAGAATGCAACCCTCAAGCCTTTGCCAGTGGAATTACAGCATCGGTTTTCTTGATCAATAAGACAGCACAGTATGCAACACAGGTTGCAACAGAAGTAAAATTTAACTAGATTATCTTGTTTGCTCAACATACCGAACAACCAAAGGAATTTCATAGTTTTCTGGGACTCCGTGCAGCATAGTTGGTTTCTTGATCATATTTGATATTTTGTGAGCTTCTTTACCAACATTTATTTTTAATTTTTCTTTTTTCTAATTAATTTCTTTAATTTATTTCACGTAGAAATGAACCATCCTGAATAACTTTTGATTCAATGATCGGACCTTCACGTTTTACGACTCATTTTTAATAGGGGGTGACTTCAAATAAGCGCAGACAATATTTTAAATAACGTAAATGTTGGTTGTTTTGGTTTTGATCTTAATTTAATACTGTAATTTATGTGCTTGTCACAGTATTTATTTAGGTTTACACATACCATCTAATGTTCTTTGGGGCTGGTTAAAATAAATTTTTTATCTGTAACATAATTATAAATCTGCATTTTATTAAAACTAACTATTAACATATTTTAACCTATTTTGTTCAAATTAGCTTCCTATTTTGTTTAAATTAGTTAAATATTTAAGGTTGAATAAGTAAACAAAGAATGTATACTTCAGAATCAGAATCTTCCTCTTCAACTTCCTCTTCTTCCTCTTCAACTTCCTCTTCTTCCTCTTCAACTTCATCATAGAAGTTCATCACATCAGAAAAGCCAGTGGCTACTTCATCTAGAGAGTTGTGTTCTCCCTGCAATCAGAGTATTTATGAAAAATTACAAAATCAAATCCCAAGTTTGGAATGCTTTTAAATTCAAAAGATCTTGACTCTGTAAAATTAATATTCCATACACTATTAAACTTTTGCAGTGGGCCCATATTCAAGAAGTCGTGGGATTAATCCCCGGAGGTTGGAACTTCCCCGTGTACTAAATGGTAACTGATGCATGTTAAGTCAATTGAGTCGTAAAGTACCCAAAACAAATCACACCTGTGGGGGTAATGATGCGGGAGTCTTGTGGATTGGTTCAAAATTACAGGGTGCTACGGAGTTGAAAATTAGTAGTCGTAAACTCACAATTGCAGTATTTTTTATTTTCATACCTAACACATTGGAAATTCTCTCCTGAAACTGAAATTCTGATTTTTCGGTAAGTGTTAATTTATTTAGTTATTAAACATTTAAATTGACCCAAAAGGCAATCAAAAAACGATCCCTTATTGGTCACATGTGCTAAATGGAAAAGTGCTGTCCGCTATTTTAGTTTTGATATCACGTATATCGTATGTAAATTATTAGTAAAAATTTTGTGAAATAAACGTACGGTTTTGAGAGTGTGTGCAAAATGAAAGAAAGATTTTAAAACTTCAGACGTAGTTATTTATCGCTAAAATATCTGAAGAAATGATTATGCAGCTCTTTACAGCGAATAAACATTTCATTTCTGTTGAAATCAGTGTTGTTAAAGTTCATAGAAAACAATATTTTATTCTACTTATAATACTCGAAGGTTATAATATAAAAAATAAATCGTCACTTTTTTGAGCATGGTTATTTTTTTTATTTACGCATATAACATTGTACACGCATCTGATATCTACTAATTATTAGAAAATAAGAAATTCGTTAACATTGTTTTGTTAATTCATTTATTATTTTTTTGCGCTGAACTGAAGGAAATTAAACCCAGTTAAATCTATAAGATAAATAATTTAAAAGTTATAATAGTTATTTTTTAATACAAAGCATTGCATTTTATCAAATAATTTTGCATATGAAAAATTAAAAAAAATTAAAAAAAAAAGCTTGTAGCTGATGAATTGTTAGTTCTTTTGACTCTTGTTTGGTATCATACGACTCGAAAAGCTACGTCAGAAATAACACGGCAATAGCTCTCTTATACCCTTCCTTACTCTAACCAACTACAGTCAATTTTTTTTTTAAATATATATAATTGAGTACTAAATGATAAGAAATCTACTTATAGTGAGATAAGGGTTGTATCGNAAATAACAGGGCAATTGCTCAATAGCTCTCTTATACCCTTCCTTACTCTAACCAACTACAGTCATTTTTTTTTAAATATATACAATTGAATAATAAATGATAGGAAATCTACTTACAGTGAGGTAGGGGTGGTATCGATGACTTCCACTCAACAATGCTGAATTTGCCATTCGATGAAGCACATTCTTTAATTCTATGGGAAAGAAAAATTAGAAATTACGTTATTTAGTATGAAAAAAAAATATTTTTAAAAATTAGGAGTTCCGCATACAAAAGGTATAAGTAAACATAAGGGATTTTGATACACACGCTCGCACACACACATGCACATACATACATATATATAAATATATATACTTTTCCCTTTCTTTTCTTATGTTTCTCTCTGGCTACTATATACGATTAAGAAATCTTTATATTAACTCTTAAGCAATGTGGGTGCGAAGACTTGGATTCAAAATTGTTTGAATACCGAACTTTAGTTGACGGTTTATTTTAGCAAAATAAATAAACAGTAACTCTTTTCAGTGATAAAAATTGTAAAAAAAAATTGGCATAATCACTTTAAAAATAAAGGAAATTGAATATGAAAATTACTAACTTTTAGAACGAAATTGACGAAGTTCGTCATCCGTATCTTCCCCATCTTCTAGATGCAGAAAGAGGCCTGTTGGGGTTGAATCGGGTGTAGAAGATGGTTCAATATTCGAGGATGCAGACTCACTTGGAATGGAAACAATTTCCTCGGAAGTTTGAATTCCAGTGCTGGATTTCACGCTACAAGCCAAGAATCAATAAGCGATCAAATGATTGGTTATTATATTGAAATATATTTTACTTTAAAAGTGAAATGCTCCCCAAGCTTGTTTCCCTTATTTTTTTTTCTTGTTAAAGGTGGTCATTTTGTCAGATTTTTACTAGGTAAGTATCAGTGCCGATGGAGGGCGTTTTCATGCTCCGGGTGATACTGAAAATGACGCCATGAAAACTAAATTACAATTTTGGAGAAAAAAATTTTAATTCGCTTAAAAGTAAAAACTTGCCGGTATGGAAAATTGTCTTTCTTATTCTATATCGAGTTTATTAACCCAAAATAATCATTTAGGAAACATAAGAACATGATAAATAACAATTAACGCATTCAAATTCTGAAGGGAAAAAAATCATTAGTTTAATTAAGACGACATCATCACAAACATTCCAGAATATTTACTACTGGCAAAGTATTTAATGAGTATAATCTTATGATACACAAATACATAAACATTAAAATTAAAACAGTTTTATAGATTCTACAAAATTAATTATTTGTGTGGTTTTATTCTTGATTAAAATTATTGTATTTTGCCTTCAATGCGTCATCATTTTGTTGAAAATTATTTTTAAAAAAAATGAAAAATTGTTGCCGCTGACATCCGTGAAACAATTTGTGGGTTCATGAACAACTCATTAAATGATTGGACTAAAATGCTCTTCAAATACATAAACAAATTCACAGCTGCTGACTATTTAATACACCTTATATTGACTGATTCCTTACATTCGTCATTCTTAATTCATTCATCGTAACAGTTCTCATTACGAAGCGAACTTACAATAAAATATTTGGGAAGAATACTATCAGAAATGTAACCTTCAAAATAAATTAAGAATGATCTCGTAAAACTGTATTAACGAAAGAATGAACGGTCGTTACAGTAATAGGAAAATATCAATTGATTATACTGGGAGTTAAAGAGACGTTTACATAAATATTACTGCTAATTACGTGAAGAATTGCGTCTTACGTGATTCTTTCGCAAATTTGATTCTTTTGGTTTGGCGGATTTTCGCCTTTTTAAATGTTTGGAACCTCGCCGGAATCTGCTAACATTTGGATTCTTATTCACGCGATATCAAGCATTGATTTTCGTATTTACCCGATTTAAAATCTACGCGCTGCGATTCGTATTCACGTTATTTAAAAATCCAATATCACGATTTACATTTACGCGCTTTTAAAATCCACTATTGCGATTTGTATTCACGCAATTTAGTGATTATGCTAAGTGATTCGTATTTGGGTTATTTAAAACTTTAATATCGCGATTGATATTCACGCAATTATAAAATCCAATATCGTGATTCCGGTAGGAAGTAAGTTTCTCCTAGAATATCAGCGTTTTCCTCTTTTTCAAAATATATTTTGAGCTGCTTCAATATGGAATCGTTTGCATTGCATCTGAGGAAAATATAGAAAGCTCAGAATTATTTAAGACGGTCTTTTGGAGATAACAGGCAAATCTGGCATCCTTGAAACATACTTTCCTGGCCGAACATTTGTGATGCAATCTTTGTATTTTTAAACCGTGAAGAAGACCTTCATATCTTGGAATTCCTCTCTATGCTTTCTACATTTGAAATGAGGATAAGATGCTATTTTATAATGTGCACTTCAGGTTACTGATGCGGACGGCATATTTCCATGGATGTTCTTTTAAACCTTCAGGTCATTATGGTCTACAGAATGTAGTACGAGATTAAGGTAGGGGATTGTTCAAGACTACCGGAGGTAGGTGGGCGGGGGAGGGGGTCCGCAGGAAAATGCTGTCACTTATTCAAGATACAAATTGTTCTGCAGGACTTCGTTTGTTCTGCGACGTACGTCACAGCTTTAGGCACTTTCTGCTTCTGGGCTCCCGGCGAAGAGTAATTAAAAATAAAACTTCACACTATACTACATATTGTTTTGAATCATTTTCACGCTTCTTTATTTTGGTCATTTATTTAAATGTGTAATAAAAGGGATCAGCTCAGAAAAATTAGTTAAAATTGTTTGAATTGCGGATATAGTGAACTCTTGCGTCCATAGTGCACCGAAATGGTCCCTTGAGCTGGGTTCGACTGATTTTACATTATATATATATATATCGTTTCTTTCTTTTTTTTCTTAAGCGTATCTTACTTTCCAACATTTCAGAATATTTCTTACCTGCATTTTTTTGTCAGCAAAAGTCTTTCATAGGCATGGATTTTCGCCTGGAGCTCCATAACTTCTTTTTGATGGTCGATCTCCATTTTCTTCATCCGTTCTATCAGTGAAGCCTCCTAAAAAACAAACCCTTTTGAATAAAAACCTCTTTAATTTACAGAACAAAAATGGAAAGATGTCATGCCATAATTTGATTCCAAACCATAATAAACATATTAAAATATATTAAAATTCATTAAACAGAAAATAAAATGCATTTACCCTTTCATTGACTGTTCTTCTACTTTCCAAAATTGCGTAGCGGCTGCTACTTCTGCGAACAGCTCTGTAAAAGAAGAACATTTATTTGACTCAACTACCAGTTGCAGAAGACATTTAATAAAATAAAAAATCTATTATGCTCAAATTTAAGTTGAAATTTAGCTCAAAGGGAAATTAATTTATTATTGGGTCTTTAAATTGAAGATGCAGTAAAGAGATAAATTGTTAAATTGTTTAATCTGTTGACAATAAAAAAACTCTTTTTTAAAAAGACTTTCCTAAAAAGTGTATTAGTTATAATGGTTAGAATAAAAAGTACTAGTAGTAATAGTAAAAAAGTAATAGTTTTTTTAACTTTTCATGTAAGAAGCTTAGTGCTGTGGGGTAGGCAGAGAGCCCAAAAGCGAGAATAAAATCTCGAAATTCGCATGCTCCGACAACACGCTGACGTAAAATATCCTCAGTGGTATACAGATCATGGGTTCGAGTCCCCTTGCCATCAGGCTAACCGTGGAAGGTTTTCATGATTTTCCTCTCCATATAACGCAAATGCGGATTAGCTTCATCAAAAAGTCCTTCACGAAGGCAAATTTCTCCTGTTTTCTGGATTGCGTTGAAAATTACAAGGCTATGGAGTTGAGCAATAGTAGTCGTAAGCCCAAGCAATTCTGTTCAATGACAGTTATAAAATAAAATTGCTGCACATGAGCCTTGGTGGCTTAGAGGATAAACCTCGCCCATATTTTCAATGGCTTCCTATGATGGACCTCTCTAAGCTTCCTGTAGAGAATTGGGTGTCTATATTTTGTAATAATAATCGTAGACAAAAATGATTCTCGGACCAATATTAAAAGCCATTCTAGGACCAATATCAGAAAATCTAGACATCCCAATATTGGTCTCATAAGAGCCCCACGTTGATCCAATTTTGAATGCAAAATTGTTGTTAGAAATGTTGCATGTAAATAAGTATACAAAATAATACAATCTGCATTGTATTATGAAATCTTCAGTCATATTTACTTGTAATTTTATTATTTGCAGTCATGTTACAAGTAATCATGATGACATAAGAAATGAGTACTGCATAGACGATTACAGTTGTAGTCAAAGTTTTGTGATCAATTAATATACTCTATTACATTTTTTCCAAGCTCTGTTAAAAGTTGTTCCTATTCATCACAGCGTGTTAAAATACGATGATTAAATCAAAAGTTATTGTGTTCCAATTCTTTTTATTTTGCGTACTGTATAATAAATATATTTTTAAAGTTATTCAATAATTATGTTTAAAAGTAGTAGTGTTTCTTATTTACCTTGTAGTGATTATTTATGGATATTAAAACTGAATTTCCTATATATGGGTATTAAAAGCACATTTTTTTTAAAAGCTGTGTTATGGAATTAAATACGGCTACAAAACAGGGCCCATAGCTTAATATAGTGAAAGGGTTTATGAGCTGCATCCGTTTTCGTAAAAACACATATTAAGCAGCTCCCATTTTTATATAGATGCCTTTCAAGCTGCGTCTCTTTTCGTAAAGACGCATTTTAAGCGGCTCCCATTTTCGTAAAAAGCGCATATCAAGCTGCATAAACACACGCATTTTGAGATTTGTTCGTTTTCATAATCATGCATTCAGAAATATGTCTATTTCTGCAAACACGCGATTTGAGCTATGTCCAGATTTAAGAACTTACCGACTATGTGCTATGTGCGATTTTATATTTTTTATTTTGGCAACAAGTCCAGTAAACAAAGTTTTGGATCGATATCCAGTGACGACAATTTGTAAATGTTTTGGGGTTTACCCAGAATCCAAGCTTTATGATTAGTGTTCATGTTAAAGTATTATTGATAATTATTGAAAATTCCTTAATGTCACAATAGTGATTATTTCATAAATTCAAATAAATCTCTAAAAATTGTTTTTATATAATGAAATGGATTAAATGAACTTACATTTCCTGGCGATACAGCTCTCTTTCACAGACGATGTTGAACTTATTCAGAAGGTTTCTAAACATGAAAATAACAAATAGGATAATTAGCACAATAACAATTGACGCATGTTATTAGTTCCTAGAATAGCTTAAGAAAAATTAACGCTTAGTACTTCCTACAAATTAAAAAGACTTAATCTTCCTCTAAAACTTCGAAATAGTTTTAATTTAGACGATGAACAAAAATGCTTTTTTCATGGTGAACTGAGTTATTAACTATCATGACATTGATACATTTAAAAAAAAAAAATAAAAGAATTCAAGCTTATATTTTCAGCTTTTTTTGGTCCCTGAGTATCAATGGATTCACGAACGCTGTTTTATGTTATAGCAATGCTTCATTTTTTTCTATTGGAATAAATGTATCAACTCAGAAAGCATGTAACGACAACCGTGTCGACATTGTTACGAAAATGTTTGTACCAAAAACCTTTTTTTTTTTTTCAAATAAAGCAAAAATATTTCAAACCTTTCATCATAAAAGGATTAAAAATTATTTTTTTAAAAGCTTTTTTAAAAAGCACTTAGATAAAATGG